CAGGGTTGTTACGGAATTTTACACTATCGCCATTCGCTTTAGCATTAAAATGTGTGTAAGAGTACAAAATTTCGAGAAAAACGGTTTACCAATGTTCTTAAAAATAAACAAAATATATTATTTTTGTTTAATCTTTCGAGGGCTGTAACTTCTTTGGGAAGCATTTTAGGGCATATGTTCATAGGAACTTTTTGTTTTATTTTTATCTGCATGTAAAATCACACTATTTTTTGGCACCCTGTACAATACCATTTGTAACAGGGAAAAACTAACTATAAAAACTGTTAGCTTTAGTGATGATTTGAACTAATTCTGTTGCAGTAACCTCGTAATAAGATCATTATTTTTTAAATTTTTAAATTCTGAAGGGCACAGAAAAGTACACCTTAAGAGAAACATCCCGAGAAGAGACTACATCCTTCGGAAGTAGGTGGATACTCCAAGCTATAAATAAATTTAAATAAGGAAAAAAAGAGGCAGTTTGGTTCGGCGAAACACTAAATTAGTCGACTGTTTCGAAAGTTAAACGCAACACCTAAACTACAGTCGATTCGATATTAAAATCGATTGTAATAATTTATTCGTTTTTGATTAGTATGAACGAACGGGAAGTAACTGACATTAGATAATAACAGTTTGAGGCCTATTATCGAGAAAAACAGAAAGGGGAGTTGTAGATTAGAGGTTAATAGTCTGTATCAATTTGATTATAAACATTTTTCAAACAGAAATTAAACTAAATGGTTTTTAGCCTTAATCGAATCGAACCTCTTGCGTACTATATTTATATTTTTATTAGACAAAAATAAATAACTAATAATAATTATGTACCTATACTGCAAAAATTCCTGTCTGAGATGGCTACTTTGTAAATGACTTTTAAGCTACAATGTAACAAATAATAAGCCATTTAAGTATCGATTACACTTCATAACATAATATGCAAGAACTTATCTATGCCATTTAGATAGCTCTCCTACAATTTAGTTTTCCGTAACATCAATCTACAATAAAATACTCGACATCAAAGAGAACCACTTTCGTTTAAAATGATTCTATTATCATGTTACAAATTATTATCCGAAGAATACCTGCTACTTTATGATAAAAACTAGAAATAAGAAACTACTCCCACTTAACTTCCTGTCTCACAATATACCGTTTGTGCCCAGGAAGGGTTTATAGTTTCATAGTTGTCGATTTTCGAAAGAAATCAGTACTTGTATATTATTTCCTATATTTTTCATTTTATTGATTTTATGGAAAGCACTGTTCGTTAAAATGTTGTATCCTATGTTATAGGGCTTGTTTCTCTCTACAATTTCCTGTCTCACAATGTACCGTTTGTGTCCAGGAAGGGTTCAGAGTTTCATAGATGTCGATTTTAGAAAGAAATCAGTACCTGTATATTATTTCCTATAGTTTTCATTTTATTGATTTTATGGAAAGCACTGTTCATTAGGAAGTTTTTTCCAGTAAAATAATTTTAAAATTAGGACTGTTTAGTTATTTAATAAGTTATTTATTTTTATTTTTGGCAAGGAAGGGAAGAATATGTTTTTTTGGCATAATATTAAGTTCATTGACAGCAGCAGCAGCAATTGTAACTTCAGCTTCTATTCACTTGGATGCCAAATTATAAAATAAGGTATCTTACTACTAACTATACACTGAGATGAAAAAATTTGAAATGTTCGATGACTGTCATGATTTTTTTGGCAAACTTTATATAAATATATGAACTTTAATTATTAATATCAGTTTTGTGTAAACTGTAGTATTGGGCTTTATTATACAGGGTTTATCGAATGGTTGTTTTTTACCTTAACACCTTGTGCAATAATTTTGTGAGCAAATTTTCCGAACCATGTCTCCTGAGCATTTTGTTTTTTTGTCTCATATGCCTTGGTTAATTTTTAAGAGCGAAATGAACCTGCCACCAACAATTTGCAATTTTTTCAATTATTATTACTTTTTAATGTTGTTTTACAATATGGCGAGGTGGCTTTGGTGGTTATTGTCGTAACGTCATATTACGCTGCATTAGATACTCTATACTAAATTTAAAAAAAGGAGTAATAGAACTATCGATATTAAAGAAAACATCTGTAATACTCAAATATACAAACAGTAAAGAAAACTCTAATACTTTGTATTGCCTCTCTTCACCGCTATAACTGCTTGCATATATCATATTGAGTTTTTTCCCATTGTTCTTTATGGACCAAGGGAAGTACATTTACAAGGCTGGGCAGTTCACAGGAGTATATAATTCACAATATTCACCAAAAGCCGCCTATTCATATTGAAAAATAACATGAAAAATTTTAAAAAATTGCAAATTGTTGTTGGCAAGTTCATTTCGCTCTTAAAAATTAACCAAGACATGTATTGAGATGATCCAAAAAACAAAATGCTCAAGAGACATGGTTCTGGACGAAAAATAATGTTATAGGAATATATGCCTACGAAATTATTGCACAGGAGGTTTTAAAGTTAGGGTAAAATAACAACCCTTCGAATAATTCTATATAAGAGTTTACGAATTAGAGTTGATATATTTATATACAGTTTACTAAAAAAATCATGAAAATATAAGAAATAGGACATTTTAAATTTGACGAAACATTTTTCAATCGAAAAAATATCAGAAATACTGAAAAGAAAAACGATATTTCGCAATATCTTGGAATAATAACAATCGGAATGAATGCAATGATTTACGATTGCTAGAGGTCATTCGAAAAGGAAATTAAATTACACGTATTATCCAATAACAATAAATATTATTATTAAGTATGAACGCGTGGGGTTAAACCCATAGAACTTACTTATACACAGATCGTACACCGATAAATATTTTTTCCTGTGTTTTCTACGTTTCGTACTTTCTAATAAAGTTTCATGATGTCATTACTCGATTGTATACTTTCAATTTCAATCGTACGATGAAAAGGCAGTGCATTTACTAATTTCACGTTGTTTTACACAAAAATTACTATTATTTCCCTAGCCGAACACGTTTTGATAAACAATTACTTAAAATTGAAACAACACTGCCAGAAGTTTTGAAAAGGAAAAAAAATGAATTTCTGGGATATAATAATAATTTATTTTACAGCATGATGTGCTGTATATTGTCCATCGCTAAAGCGAAAAATAGATATATTTTTTTTTCAGGTGAATAAACGGAATTATGTGAATAGAAATTTTCTCGAATTGTTCCGTACCAAACGCAACAAAAAAGCCTTTATATTTCAATTTCACGGTTTTTGTTATGAGTGCTCGCGTGCACGATTTGTTCGACTCATTTCTAGAGATTGTAATTATTACCTAAGCCCCCGTTCACGAACTATAGTAATCTAGATTTAAAAAAAATGCTACCGGCTTGTTCATTGTTGTTGATAAAATGTACGTTATGGTTTGTTTCCCCTGAAACTCCATTCCAACGCGCTCACTCATATGCACAAACAACAACATCCATTATTGGAAAAACGATAATCATTTATAAATGTTATTTAGTAAGAAAAATAGAATATATTATTTAATGAAAAAAAGGCATTCAATCAAGTGATATTATCAATGTGGATAGAAACTCTCGGAAACAAGAAATAACCATCTTATCCGATAGTCAAACATCAATTCACTCAGGAACCATCAATTCGAAATTGATCCAAGAATGCCTCAAGAAGTCTTCCTACTCTGGGTGCCAGCCCACCAAGGGATAGAAGGTAATGAAAAAGCAAACGATCTAGCTAGAAAAGGAGCGAACACTCCACTAACTGGACCACAACCGTTCTGCTTTCCAAGAGGAATCCAACTTAAAGCGTAAGTCAAGAACCAGGAAGACTCCATCTAAATGGGAATCCCCCAACAGCCTAAGACACTCGAAGAAGTTTCTCGGAACTTACGACCGAGAAAAATATTTTCCTTAATTTAAGTAAGAACAATCTTTGGATTGACACGCGGGGTTTTTAACAGGACACTGTCTCCTCAACGAACACCTCAGTAAATTGAAGCTAAGAAACAACGACGAATGCAGATTCCGTGGGAAAAATGGGAAAACACCAGAACCAAAACACCTCATCACTGAGTGCGCCGAGAGTTAATCACAGGGCCATGTAAGTGAAATATTAAAAATGGTTCCAGCAAAAGTTTCCCAATTATGACGGATGATGGCGCTGATCGTCAAAATTTTTGGACAGGGATTTTGCTTACCGACAATACGACGTGAGCTACGACCGGACCAGGACCAATCAGAATGATCAGTCTTTCTTAACATTTGCCGGAAGTGTGTGTTAATTTCTGTTGTGATAAGTGTGGTTGTGTTTGCAGTTTGATTTTTCGGTTTTGATATTATGTTAAAATTAATTTTGAAGTATTGTATCACCTGTTTTTATGTAATAGTACTTTTTTTAATTCTATGATTGTTTCTATGTTATGATTTGTTAATGTTTGTTTAACAATGTTATACCAAAGAGGTTATACTTAATATACTTATCAATTTGCATAGCCTAACTTTTTTATCAATAAACTTTGTAGATTTTCAGATTATTTAATTCCTTTTGTTTCCGTTTGTAATTTTATTTTTAAGACATATTATGTGATTGTTTCACATAATATGTTTTAAAAATAAAATTGCAAATAGCGAATAAAAATAATTAAAATAAAAAAGTGTATTTTACAATTCCCCCCGGCCCCGCACCCCTTTGGCTAACCTATAATGTCAGCTATGTCGAGAGATGGCGTTACGAAAATGGAACCGATTTATTACAAGGAACTTGGGCTTCTTTTTCGTTAGTATATTCTGTGGTTAATCATTCGTGCCATAAACTTTGGTACGACTGATATCGGAGATGGTGAACTACCCTCTCTAAAACCATCTCAGATACTGGCTTTTTTCAAAGCCCTGAGACTGTATGATGTGTTATTAAACTTGATAATGATAATGTTGTGTGTATTGGTACACGTTAGCTGCATATAAAGGTATTCAAACTTACCCTAAGGCTCTGTCTTTTGGAGAGTGATTCCAGGTAACATTGCCATTCTAAGGATCGCAGGAACAGGAGATGCCATCTACGCTCAAGGCCGTTCGCAATGCGTCTGGCGTTTGCGGTGTTGCATTTTGCATCGGGCCTCTTGCACAATTTCACAACCGAGCCTACGATTTTACCGTGATTTTCAATATCACGGTGTAGCACCTGGAACAATAAAAAAAATAAATCTCCGTTTTTTAGCCCACTTGCTGCAAGATCATTGCTATTATTAAGTTCTCAAACGGTTTCACAAACCCTAGGGACAAAATCAAAGAAATGCCTTTGATTTTCAGAGCGTTATATATGAATATTCATAGTTATATATTATTAGCTCAGTTTAACCATCTGGTGGTATCACTGCAGAAGAAATAACACGCTTTTATGGTCAATCTAGTCAACGTTATTTTAATTTTTATGTATCAGATATGGTAAGAACTATTTCTTTTCTATGTGAGAGTCACTCAACAGAAATTCCACAGTACATTCAGTGGAAGACTTATCTCCCAAAATATCACATCGATAAAAATATTATCAAGTAAACACGCCACAATCTTTAAAACATTATTTAGACAGTTTTATTGCAGAGTTTTATACAAAAAATAACAGATAATTATTAAGAAACGGTCCTTCATCTTTCTCTTGTATTCTGCTAGGTTTTTTGATAATATCAAAGGCATAGATAGCTTAAGCCATAAAAATATTTAAAATATACAGATTAAAATCTAGGTCTCTACAATTGAACGAATACGGTGTTAGAACTTAGATATGCTTAAATTACGATTCATCTAAAATGGAACATCAGTTGGTTCCATTAAAAATGCATTTTTCTTGTCTGAAAAATAATGAAAATTAAATAATTGCTAATTAAAATGCGTGTTCTGTTGTGCTGAGTGTAATAATAAAGCATCATCTGTTTAATATTTATTAGAAATGAAAGTAATTACTTGGTGTATTGTTGAAGTTCTTTAATTCTGCGTGAAAATGTTCGAGCTATTTTACAGCAACTTGGATATTTTATTTTCACATTGTTTCAATGGTATTGTTACTTAAATAATTGCTATGTCGATATATAGATTTGTTAGATTCAAAGTACAGCATAAAATATATCGATTTTAGTTAAACGTAGCCTATTCTTTTTTTAACTAGGGACATTCATTATGTTGTCAGGCTTGGATGATATATATCTACCATAAATACTTACTAAAAATATAGCTAATTCCTTTTGGATCAAATAATTTTAATATACCATTTAAACCATTAAATGTGATATAAATTACACACCAAACACTATACTTGGCAAAATTTATTCTTTAACGTCTAAAATCTAGGACATTAATTAATATTCTTAAATAATTGTGAACCTTTAAGGAACAAACAGAATGCCACAATCTGCGAAATGTGTTTGCTAAATTTCATAATATTTGTATCCATCGATTTCCTACACAAAATATGTAGGATCGTGTACAATTTACAAAAGCAACAAACAATATGTCAAAGGATGTTCAATTAGACCACATTTTTAGTGGAGTCTATATTTGGATACTCGTATATTTTTCCTTGCGCATAGATTGTGAAATTAATATTAACAACCGTTGCTAGTATAAACTTTAGACTAATTTTGCGGAGGTTTTGAACACTTTTGTAAACAAATAATGATAATTGAATTTACACTTGCTGAAAGTCCTAGAAAATTTATTTTAATTCTTTTATTTTTATAAACTGAATATTACACATCAATCATCACACAAAATAAAAAAAGGTATGGTCGTGTTGATAATCCATTAGCATATATTAGATAATTCAATTTACCTTTTGACAGTCATCAAATGACTTAATATGTACCTGAAAAGAGCTGTTTTACGTTAATTAGCATATAGATTTACATAATTACTTATAGATATTAAATTAGCATTTCCGGTCAACGAACTATCTAAGAATACTGCAGTGCTTGTGTTAGGAATTATAAAAACCGATAATAAAAAAACCTCTTGTTTAAAACAAAACTTTCACCGATTTAAGCGTCAACTTTTAACCACACTACAAAGCAGATCCGCTCAACATGTGTATGGACAAAAAATTCCTGATGACTTCAACGGCATGTAATAAAGTCTAACTCACAGTATGTAGCACTACATAAATACATGCATCTATTTACATATGTGTCTAGTAATATGCAGTATATTCACTTCCTTTCAGAGTATATTAGCTACTGCCATATGTTATTACAATTTTTAAATATTAGTTTTGATCCATAGCTCTTTTCTGCTGTTAGATTAAACTGTTTACTATATTAATATTTGTTTAAAAGTTTGTAAACAACAAAACCCTTTTATAAGAAAAATTAAAAAATGAAATGGGTGTTAATTTCCTGAGAATTGAAACACTAAGTGCAGTTTAAAATATACATAGGTTTTTTTTGTTGTTAGCCTATGAATAACAGAATAAAAACAAAGATCTGTTGTTGGTTTACTATTTACAAGTCTGGAGTAAACACAACTAAGAAAAAGACTTTAATAAACTGAACAAAAATAAACGAACTCAATTTTGTAGTAGACTAATTGGAATTAACATGTCGAATTTTTGTAGAAATTAATCCGATAATAAATTAACTGAGTCTACTACAGGCTGCGTTGCAAATATAAACACGGGTAGTATAAAGAAATTTTGAGGCTTTGCAACTTGATGCAACCAGTATCTAAATTTATATCTGAATCACGGGCAGTCGGTCTAAAAATGAAAATTAGAACAAAGTCACCGGAAAGAAATTTGCATTAGATGTTCGGCGGGTCTTTTGAAAAAATATTTAATATCATTCTATCGAAAAAATACACTTTAGGTTTGGCTTTTTTATATAACAGGGCTGCAAAATTCTTGTATTTTTAAGGAAGCAAAATTCTTTGACATCAAATCTGGCTAACCTTAAAAACTACATAAAATTTGCTGCAAAACTTCCCAATTTCATTTTTTTTTGGTAAAATTAGTATCCTTCTTCCTTAATATGTGAAATAATTAAAATGTGTCGATTTTCTCTTCATTTACCAAAAAAAACAGCGGTTCAAAATACATTAATTTCTAAGAAAGGAAAAACTATTTGTCACCAAATCTGTATATCCTTTAAAACTACATCAAATTTGCTACTAAACCTCTCAATTTCATTGTTTTATGACTAATATTACTATTTTTAATAACTTTTTAATATGTTAAATATGAAGAAATTTTTTTCTCCATTTACAAAAACAGGGGTTCAAAATTCTTTAATTTCTAAAAAAGGAAAAACTATTTGTCGCCAAATCTGTATATCCTTTAAAACTCTATAAAATTTGCTACAAAACTTCTCATTTTCATTGTTTTAAAACTAATATTACTATTTTGCTGAACATGTTAAATACGTAGAAAAAAAATTTCTTTCTCCATTTATAAAAACAGGGGTTCAAAATTCTTTAGTTTCTAAGAAATGAAAAACAATTTGTCGTCAAATCTGTATATCCTTAAAAACTACATAAAATTTGCTGCAAAACTTCCCAATTTCATTTTTTTTGGTAAAATTAGTATCCTTCTTCCTTAATATGTGAAATAATTAAAAAGTGGCAATTTTCTCTTCATTTACCAAAAAAACAGCGGTTCAAAATACCTTAATTTCTAAGAAAGGAAAAACTATTTGTCACCAAATCTGTATATACTTTAAAACTACATCAAATTTGCTACTAAATCTCTCAATTTCATTGTTTTATGGCTAATATTACTGTTTTTAATAACTTTTTAATATGTTAAATATGAAGAAAAAATTCAATTTTGTCTCCATTTACAAAAACAGGGGTTCAAAATTCTTTAATTTCTAAAAAAGGAAAAACTATTTGTCGCCAAATCTGTATATCCTTTAAAACTCTATAAAATTTGCTACAAAACTTCTCATTTTCATTGTTTTAAAACTAATATTACTATTTTGTTGAACGTGTTAAATACTTAGAAAAAAATTCTTTTTCTCCATTTTATAAAACAGGGGTTCAAAATTCTTTAGTTTCTAGGAAATGAAAAACAATTTGTCGTCAAATCTGTATATCCTTAAAAACTACATAAAATTTGCTGCAAAACTTCCCAATTTCATTTTTTTTTGTAAAATTAGTATCATTCTTCCTTAATATGTGAAATAATTAAAAAGTGGCAATTTTCTCTTCATTTACCAAATAAACAGCGGTTCAAAATAGAATGTCCTTAATTTCTAAGAAAGGAAAAACTATTTGTCACCAAATCTGTATATACTTTAAAACTACATCAAATTTGCTACTAAATCTCTCAATTTCATTGTTTTATGACTAATATTACTATTTTTAATAACTTTTTATATGTTAAATATGAAGAAAAAATTCAATTTTGTCTCCATTTACAAAAACAGGGGTTCAAAATTCTTTAATTTCTAAAAAAGGAAAAACTATTTGTCGCCAAATCTGTATATCCTTTAAAACTCTATAAAATTTGCTACAAAACTTCTCATTTTCATTGTTTTAAAACTAATATTACTATTTTGCTGAACGTGTTAAATACGTAGAAAAAAAAATTCTTTCTCCGTTTATAAAAACAGGGGTTCAAAATTCTTTAGTTTCTAGGAAATGAAAAACAATTTGTCGTCAAATCTGTATATCCTTAAAAACTACATAAAATTTGCTACAAAACTTCCAAATTTCATAATTTTGTTTTTATGAGTAACTTACTATTTGATATTATGAAATAATCAAAATGAGTAAAGTTGTGTTAAATTTAAGAGAACATGCTTAGATCAGATGAATTCCATGTGTTAAGATCAATATATTAAACTAGAACGTGATGTAAGCGGGTCTCGGAACATCCTGTGGGGTTTTTCTTAAATAAAACTGGCGTAGTAGTGTCGAGGTTTGTATTAGGTTGGTAAATGAACCGTATCTTGCCGGGCATATGTTTACTGAGTAAGAAATTGATATAACACAAGCAACAGCTGCCCGCTGTTTAAAATACGGACAATGTTTAGATACATTTTGCTCATAAACTTCCATTTCACAAAGACATTAAGGATTTACGGTTCATTTCTGCTAGAAACGTATACACCAGATTAGCATATTTGTCTTTAATTATTATCTCCCTTTTCATTTAACTTATTAAGCCTTCTTTGTTGCGGATCGACGTGACGGTGA